CGCCCGCCCGGCCTCACGGGGCCCCAGCCCCGTCCGTCTGCCCCGTCTGCCAACCAGCACCCGGGGGTGGGCCGGGAGCCGCCCGGGGTCTATTTCAGCATCATTTGGGGGGTGGTGACAGAGGCCCAGAGGAGCTGGGGAGCCCTGGGCGAGCCGTGGAGGGTGGGCCTCCCGCCTTGAGCCTGCAGTGGAGACCCGAGAGGGTCCTGGAGGCCGAGCCCATGAATGGGGATTTGGCCGCCGAAACGGTGAGTCCTGCGGGGTCCGGCCAGGAAGCGTCCGAGCTGCAGGGGCTGGAGGGAGCCCCGCCCCACACCCCTTGTCCAGCCAGGAAGACAGAGGCCCACAGAGAGAGTGCAGTGGGCAAAATGGAGCCCGCTTGGGGGGCTGCTCCCGTCTTTCTTCCACAGCCCCCCATCTCCCAGGACACTGGACAGGTCAGGGAGGCAGGGGCGGTGACGTCCATCTCAAGCTAGGGCCTCTCCCTCACCCTCTAAAACAAGGCATATTTATTGATCTTAATTTTATTTTTTGGAGTCTCACTCCATCGTCCAGGTGGGAGCGCAGTGGCACGCTCACGGCCACCCCAGCCTCGACCTGCTGGGCTCCGGCGATCCTTCCCCCTCGGCCTTCCGAGGAGCCGGAACCACAGGCGATCACTACCATGCCCGGCTTATTTTCTGACTTATTGTAGCGATGAGGTCTCGCCAAGTTGCCCAGGCGGGTCTCGAACCCGTGGGCTCAGGCAATCCTCTCGCCCCGGCCTCTCAAAGTGCTGGGATGATAGGCGTGAGCCACTGAGCCCAGCCTTGTTTTTATTTTTTGTTAAGAGACGGGGTCTTGCTCTGTCGCCCAGGCTAGAGGGCGGAGGTGCCATCATAGCTCACTGCAGCCTCCAACTCCTGGGCTCAGGCAAGCCTCCTGCCTCGGCCTCCTGAGTAGCTGGGACTCCAGGAACCACCACGGCTGGCTCATTTGTTCACTTTTTGGAGAGATGGGGGTCTTGCTATGTTGCCCAGGCCGGTCTTGAACCGGGCTCTCGATTGAACTTGAGCTGGAAGGAGCTGGGTGGTGTCAGATGGGGGAAGTGCGTGGCCCTCACGCCCGTCCCTCGCACCCCAGATGGCTTCCTCCGTCTGCCCCCTGGACCCCATTGACAGCCTGGAGCTCCTGGACCTCCTTTTTGACCGGCAGGACGGCATCCTGAGACACGTGGACGTCGGCGAGGCCTGGAGCCGCGTCGAGGACCAGGTGAGTAGCCCATTCCAGACGGAGGCCCAGAGAGGCGCGGGAACTCGTCTGAGGTCACACAGCACCTTGGAGTTAGGGTCACCTTCAAACTCGGGGCTCGGGCCTTGCTGGCTGGGTGTTTTGTTTTGCATTGGTGTCTTGCTCTGTTGCCCAGGCTGGAGGGCAGTGGAGCGATCACAACTCATTACAGCCTCTATCTCCTGGGCTCAAGTGATCCTCCCACCTCAGCTTCCTGAGTAGGTAGGACTACAGGCACACGCCATCCAGCCCGACTAATTTTTTAATTTTTGGTAGAGACGAGGTCTTGCCAAGTTGCCCAGGCTGGTCTTGAACTCTTGGGCTCAGGCAGTCTTCTCGCCTCGGCCTCCCAAAGTGCTGGGATGACAGGTGGGAGCCACCGCGCCTGGACTGGCTGGGTGTTTTGTCGCCACCTTCCTGCGTTTGAGCCCCCGGGACCTTGGGAGGAAGCAGCGCCAAGCTCCATCTTGGAGAAAGGACGCCCAAGGCCCAGAGAGGGTCAGCGGTTGCTCCGGGGTCACCCAGCCACCCGGTGCAGAGCCCGCCCCACCCGTCCCCACAGACCCTTCCGGGCCCGGACCCCGACGACCTCCTCAGCTCCATCCTCGGCTCCCGGGACTCCATGCCCAGCTCCCCGCTCTGGTCGAGTGCCAGTGACAGCGGCATCTCCGAAGACCTGCCCTCCGACCCCCAGGACACCCCTCCCCGCGGCGGCCCCCCCGCCCAGCCGAGCCAGAGGTCCTGCCCCAGCTACCCCCCCGGTTTTTTTCAGGTCCCCAGGGCCCGCCGTCTAAGTGCTCGAAGCCTCTGTGGCTATAGACCTGGGTAA